AATTGTATACAGTATATGAACCTGAAAGCATATTTTAATTTTTGTGTATTTTGTGTTACTCCATAATAATGTTCTAGTTGAGGGCATTTGTAGTATAGGTATGGGGCCCAAACATAACCTCAAGCCCAGGGGCCCCCGACCCCGTAAGTCCTGCCCTGCCCACCAGGTACAATATTCTGATTTTTTGCATCTTGTTTTTAAGCCCATAAATAATAATGAACTCGTTCTAATAAATTTATATTGTAATGTAGGCTACTCATTCTAATATATTTTTAAAAATCATATTCAGGAACTGAATTAATATTTTTTTAAAACATTCAGGAACAAACTTTTTAGCGCTGCCCTGCAATTTTATCAACTAAATAGCTTAATCGCTCAAGAGCTACATTATCTTTCTCAACAAGGAGCTGGAAACATCATTGTTTCTAAAGGAATTAAAGCCACAGCTTCACTGTTAATAGAGAAACGTGGCAAAACGTTGGTAATTCATACATACACAACCCCTCTCTCTCTCTCTCTCTCTCTCTGTCTGTCTTTCTCTCATAAATGAACTCTTGATGAATTACACTTTTCTGATAATAGAATATTGAAGTGGAGATTGCTAAACTGCAAGCTAAAACTAAAATCGGTGTTTCAGAAATCAAGCGCGTTTATCCACAGTGGAGAGAGAGCATGTGCACATGGTTGCCAGGTTGACAAAGATAAGTAGCACACTTACCAGATATTTCCGTATTGCGCAAGTGTGAAACTCTGTTTCGGGGATTGCGTGTCTTTATATCAGGCAACCCAGTTGTGTTCCTCTGCGGCCAGATTAAACCTAGTTATAGCCTATATATTATTTTCTATTCATTATTTTTTAGAAACCTCGCACTTTTCTGCTCAATTTTAAACATTGTTCTTGTATTCAAATTAAGCGCGGTCCACTGCTGCACACGTGCCACAATATCGATACAGGGCCATATCAGGGCTGTATCGATACTCATATTGTCAAATCTCTGTGACGATACATCGTTGTATCGATGTATCGAACACAGCACTACTACACGGTGCAGCTGATTGGTTTCTGTTGCATCAACAGTCAATGAGCTTGCTGTTCAACATTCAAATACTTGACCAGTGTTCGCTGTAGCACTTTACAGCACACTTTAAGAAACCCTCCACCTTCCCCAGCTCCACCTGAATAGATCTGCTACAGGTAATTTCATGTATGTTATATGTGCGGGGTAAATTCATCTGTGTTATATGTGCAGCAGCAGTATGTCTTACATGCTCACAAAAGCATGTCTGTGAAAGTATTCCACTTATTCCGATCTGTTCTGCCGAGACCAAATACATTAACATTGCCATGTATATTACCATGCTAATCATTCCTAGAGTTGTCATGACAGAACTAAAATGAGTGACAGATTTTTGGTGATTATATATTTGTGTGCTTTCTAGGCTAAATATAATCAGAATATGAATTGAACTCTCAGAACTGCAGTTATTGACAGAGTGATAATCATAGCAATAGGCAGGACAGAAATTTATGTCATCCTGATGTGCATTAAGACTAGAGCAGCTTCACTTGTTTCAGAAGCACCCTCAATGGTTTAACGTTAACTTACACAGTGACTCAACATTTGTAGAAGTTGTTCAGGAAACCTAAACTCAATGGTAATCCACTTACTTCATATGTGATGCACACTGGTTGAGAAATGCCACGCCATCATGTTCTCTCGTTCTCCTGACAGTCCAATATTTAATCACCAAATTTAATCGCCATACAGGCACGAATTTCACTTCAAGAATGAAAAAAAATGGACGTCAATGAGTTTTGCTGTAAAAAAGTTTTCACAAACTGAAAGAGTAAGGGCAATCTAGATTATCTCGTTATATAAAATGTAGACTTTATTCAGTCCACAACAAGACAAATTAATTTATGAAAAATGGCTATACACACTCTTTCAGCCTAGGGTGAAGTCATTACTGTATGTACATTAACTACGATGTGAAACAAGTAGGGCTGCACGATAAATCGAAATGGAATCGAGATCGCGATTCGACAGAAGCTGCGATTGTCATGCGCATCTTTCAGTGAAGCAATGTGGTATTTTCACATGCTTTCAGATGGAGCAGCATTCACTTCACAGAGCCGTAGTTCACTGAGAAGTAATGCAAACAGCTGTTATTATCGCAAACGATTTCTTCGATTTCATAATCGCGCAATAAAATCGTCTGCGATTTTTTTGCGTAACTTGTCAGTGAACTACGGCTCTGTGTAGTAAATGCTGCTCCATCTGAAAGCACGTGATGATGATTTCTTGCTGATTACAGAACCGGCTTTTTTAACAAAATGCGCATGACAATCGCATTCGATTAATCGTGCAGCCCTAGAAACAAGTATAATGTATTTTAATGGAAAACACTATTTTGAACACCACTGCCACCCCAGACACCCCTTTGGTACGGTCATAAGGTCTTTCTGTCATTCAATCTGCTTTAGATTGTATTCTTGTTAATATTTATATTCATGTAAAACTTTTATCAGGCATTTAATCATAAGCCGGTAGATGGTACACTTTTTTAAAGGGGTCATATGATGCGATTTCAAGTTTTCCTTTCTCTTTAGACTCCATGCTGTGAAGACGCTGTGTGTTTCGTTGCGAAAGCGAAAATACTTTGTTTGGCCTTCCAAAAGAGGACACGACTAGAAATCAGGTTAAGTTGTATTTACAACACTGTTCCAGAACAGTTCAACCCAAATATTCAGATGTGCGCAGCGCATTTTATGGAGGACTGTTTCCTGATCCTGGGAGAGTAGACTACAATGCCGGCTGTTCTGACTCACAGACTGTAAGTACGTTTTCATATTTAAAGAATTTGCCACTGATGATTCAAGCACGAGTTTTGAGCAGTGTAGAGTAGCGCTTGTTGTTTGTCATTTCTCCGATCACAAATGCAGACATGGTTTTATGTTTACGCGGCGCGATGCAACGCGTAAAAAGACAGTATACATAAATGTTGCATGCAGTGCAAAAAATTTAATATTTTCCTGAGTATTTTTGTATTGTTTTCCAATACAAAAAAACATTAAATAAAGATACAGTTATTTGAGATGCCAAATGAAGATATGAAGTCTTATTTTCTGAGAAATTAACAAAATTAAGTGAGTTTATGTGGGGAATGAAAACTTGTTTTCTCTCTGAATTCAGTAGATTTTTCTGTGCCCATTAGTAGATATTTTTTCTTTTTAAATCATAAACTCACTTCAGTTTGATCAGTTTCATAGAAAACAAGACTTATTCTCATGTCATTTTGTTTGTAAAGTAAATGTATCTTGATTTAAGAATCCTTAGTCATTTGCACTGAACAACAAGACAAAAATACTGATGAAGAACATCACTTTTTTTGCACTGTGATCAGAAGGTACAGTAAAGGCTATGAACTAAGATGACAGATTTTTAATTATTATAAAAGGAGAGCTCTTTGCATGTGTTCTAGGCTATATATAATCCATCCAGAATTTTCATGTTGCTAAGAGGACCAGCAGCCACACGCTCCAAAGACATCCACATAAAAATAAGGGATTCACTCTTGAAATTGCAATGCTTGACATTGTGATAGCATTGTGATAACATGTCAGGAGTGTCTAGTGCCACCCTGGACCCCTTTCTGGCTCCACCACTGTATCTCCTTGCGCTTGAACCGATAAACACACACAAAATTATCTTAAAACACCTGTCTCGGCAAGAATTCTCGCAAACACAGTCTGTTATGTAAAGTTAAGTAAAGTGAATGTAAACGGAAAGAAATCGGATATGTATCAGTATTGGATCTATGCATTCAGTCTTAAAATGACAGCAGCCTATAAATACCTGCTGCTGTCTGTCAGTTTTGTTAACCAAACAACAAAACTGCTTTAAAAAAAATTATCCATATTTAATTTATACAGTGAACACTGTGCAGTGTTATTATACAGTTAATTACATTTCTATAGCTGAATGCTACTGTTAGACCTTATTTTATTTGTAACTTTGTTCTGTTGTATTTATCTATGCTTGAAATTTGTGCAATTGTTCCTTTTCATCACTGACTGTTCACTTGTCATTATAATGTTTGAACTTTATTCAAGTTTTAGGTTTCAACTTAAAGGCACAATATGTAAGATTTTTTAATTAAAATATCCAAAAACCACTAGAACAGTGTTATATATTTTGCTGACTCGTGTACTTACATTATCCCAAATGTTTCGAAGAATGTTTAAATCCAGAGAAATAAGCAATTTTAACTAGTGACACGGACCGTGTCCATAGTGTCATTGTGTCGTTTTGTTTTGTAGAAAACATGGAAACACTAAAGACGCTTTAATATGTTGTGCATTTTAATCGACCGGTGACGACCGCACAGAGTAGCATTATAACAGAACTTTCAAATGTATCTAGTATAATAAAACAGCGCTGCTTTTTTTCCCACTTACGCACGACCGGAAGGAGCGGAAGCGGCCGACTGTGGCATAATAAAAGCTCAGCTGCTTTCGAGCCGTGTGTCACACTCGTTTAGCGGCCTCGTTTCGCTTCGACGGCTTTCGACCTCACCCTGCTTCATTCTACTACGTTAATAAATCATTAGCTCATCCATGAACATGATTTCTGCCCGAGTCCCATCGGCAGCTGCTTTCGAGCCGTGTGTCACACTCGTTTAGCGGCCTCGTTTCGCTTCGACGGCTTTCGACCTCACCCTGCTTCATTCTACTACGTTAATAAATCATTAGCTCATCCATGAACATGATTTCTGCCCAAGTCCCTTCGGATTGCTTCGGCTGTGGGGATGAAGACGACAACTCCCATGATTCCACACATTCCGTCACGGCGTCATCAAACTACGCCTTTGTCTCTTTGTTTATTTTGAATACATGCCCTCTAGTGGTGAAAATTACATATTGTGCCTTTAAAGTGTTCTTTAAGATGAGTGAGATCAGTGATTAATAACTAAATCTGATTGGTTCTTTGTATTTACAGGACCTGGAAATGGGCGATGCAGATGCAGGAGGAGCTAGTGCAGTTGATGGATGCTGAGACTGGCATACAAAAGCTTCAAAAAGTAAGACCACACATTTGTTTTTCAGCACGCTAAACAAATTTTATGCAGCTATGAATATTTCATATACTGCCACAAAAACAAATACAAATGTGAGTCACATTAGCTTGGCAATTAGCATATGTACTACAGAGTGCTACAGTGGCCAGACACATTTTGGTTCCGGAACTTTTTTTTTTTTCTCATTAATGTTAAAGCATTAAATGTCATGAACCAAACCAACCAGCTATGATTTAAATTCCAACTTTGATTTGAAGATCAAAATTTCTTTGGAAAAAAGAAAATTGGACAAAAACACAAAGATACAAGTGGTACAAGTGTGTATTTAACGGCTTTAATAAAGGAAAAAAACAATCCCATGAAGCAGTGCGAATGACATAATTGAATTAAAAATTATGGAGAAATATAGAACTATACAAATAGAGCATATGGAGATTACTTCATTTGAAGTGCTTCATGGGAGTGGGTGGGTGCTAAAGAATTATTTCGGCACAATTTTCTTGCAGTAGTCCTCTGATTGGAGGAGCTTTTCTGATTGGATGGGTAATGTAGTTTTTCACCAGGAATTCCACTGTTAAACATGATTATTTAAAAATGAAGTTGAAATAATGCAGGCTGATGGCTTCAACAAAAGCATATACCTTTGGTCAACAAAATCCAAGCTTATAGTAGATCCTGTTTCAGTTTTAGAAGTTGTCCTTAAAAATCAATTTCCCTATGCAGAAAATGAATGGGACTTGCTAGTGCAGTAGTTCTAGAGTTCTCTTTTCAGGGATGAAGGAAAGTCGTGACATGAAGGTGAATTGATGATTACAGAATTTTCATTTTGAGTGAACTAGTACAACTTCGAAAGGAGCAAAACTGCTTTAGCATCTCTATCACCCAGTCTCAACAAAACCTTGTGCTGTATGTCATGCGGTTTGCCATTCTGAAAGTATTTGTGTCCAAGGCCAGTGCACAAAGACTATTTAGTGTGTGTGAGAGTCAAAAGAATTTCATCAACCCACAATTCCTGCTGCCAGCTGTTGAACTTGGTGGCGATCTTTAATGGTACTGTGGTCAACTTATGGGGGTCATGAGGTCCAGTGTTTTCTCTGGACCAAAGATTGTTCTGTCATGTATAATGGCTAAGGATTTTTATTTATTTATTTTTTTTACAGGGCCAGATACACTCAGTGATACAAATGCATTCACTCTCACTGCTAAATAAATATATGAGTGCAAATCACAAATGATCAGATATCCTCAAACCTATACGGGACATTTTGTAAAATACAGCACAAAGTTTATCCCTCCAACTTTTATGGACTTGTTGCGACGGCACTGATGGCAACAGAACTGATCATTCTTATTTTGGCCTTTATTATTATATATATTGTATCATGTTTTTTTATATATGTTATTCTATTCTAGTCTTCTTAGCACATCCTGATTATTAATGTTTTACAGTCGACCTTCTAACCACTAAATAATTGCCTGTTTGGTTTAGCAAAGTCTGAAACATATTCTGTAATCCATATACATTCTTACTTTACTGTTTTTACATAGTCATGTTCTGGATTAATTACAGTTGCTTGCAAAAGGTTTGGATATTTAATCTATCTATTTATCTATTTATGCATTGCTTATCACAACCGTTTTTACATTAGACTAATTAGATTTGCAGGTATGTTTTTAATGAATGCTATGGGTTTTTTTTTTTTTGATCTGCTCATAAGTAATGGCTTTTGAGACAAATTCCAGCAAGTAAACCTGAAACCTCTCTTTCTATCTTTCTCTCTCTCTCAGATTTTCCTGCAATTTCATAGACACTATGATGTCAAGCAAAACAACCCTACACAGCTGGTGGCAAAAGCTGCACGTGAAATCGAGAACCTTCTTGCCAACCGTTCCAAAGCTCTAGAGGTAAGTAATGAGCATTATGCCACATGTTATCATCTCATAATCCAAAACATATAGCACCTTAAAGGGGTTTTTGAGATGTTTACACATTGCAACTGAATATATATGTTTGATTTGATGCAGCATGGGTTATATAACCATGCAAAACAATTAAATTTCCTTTATAATCATGCATATTTCCTGTCGAGGTGTATTCCATGTGTCTCAGGTGCTCAGAATAGCGTACTTAAATACTACTTTTGCTATTTCATCTGCATTTTCTGTATGTATGAAATACCCAGATGATCTACTACATTTGCAAAAATGAGCAGCATACAACCAAATCGCAGTACATGGAAAACTGTATTCCACAATGCAGTGCATGTATTAAGTTACTAGATGTATTTTCTAAAAAAAGATACTTTTAAAATTATATATTTTTAAGAGAAGTAGGCAGTATATGGTGTAGTTACAGTGTAGTATGTACCAAGCTAGTTTTCCAAATATAGCCATTGTTTTTCTCTGTTCCATTCAAAACCCTTCCAATCCTACTGTATGTTGTTAGTAAATTAGATCTTGCAGAAAGATCCAGCTTGGATCGACCTGCATCAATCTAGCTCTGACTGATAAAACTGGGTCCAGAATGTTGGCAGGGCTCCTTCAAGCTGAAAGTTAATTAGTTTGTCGATACTAATTCTGTCCTTTTGATTTTCTTTCTTGATAAACTGTACTCTGTGTGCTCTAAAAACTACATTTCAAGAGCATTTTCCATTAATGTATGAATAGGTATCATTAGAAATCATTATTCGGGCTCATTTTCCATGATAGTGGAGAAATATCACATGTTGTGTGTGCTTAAGCAGGGTCAGTCAGTGTTATAAATGTTTAACTCTTGCCCCTGAAGTGCAGGTGATGTATATGGCAGACTGTGTGGAGCTGCTTTTATTGGTCAGTATTAAACACATCGCTGACAGCACACCCTGATGACTAAATGAAAGTATTTACCTTTCTCTCTCTCTCTCTCTCTTACTGTCCCTTTCCCTTTTTCCTCTGCTGGCTCTCCTCTGTCATGTTTAATTGGTCTGAATTAAAGGGATAGTTCACCCAAAACTGAAAATTTGATGTTTATCTGCTTACCCCCAGGGCATCCAAGATGTAGGTGACTTTGTTTCTTCAGTAGAACACATATGATGATTTTTAACTCCAACCGTTGCAGTCTATCAGTCGTATAATGCTTGGCAATGGTAACAAAATCTATGAGAGTAAAAAAAAACATGCACAGACAAATCCAAATTAAACCCTGTGGCTCGTGACGACACATTGATGTCCTAAGACACGAAACGATTGGTTTGTGCCAGAAACCGAACAGTATTTATATCATTTTTTACCTCTAATACACCACTATGTCCAACTGTCTTTGGGCGCGCGCACGGCATCCGGTGCGTGAAGTGTGTACGCGCTCTGGCGTAGTTTACGTTAATGGGTGTGTTGATATCCAGCCGAAGAGCAATCAACCATAACTTCAGGCGAGCAGGCTCAGAAGTTGGGAATACGTGGAAAGTCACCACTCCCGAATGAGTTCGTGATGGAAATAACTGCTCTTAGGTCATTGGATCTGTAATAGCTGGCTGTGGTGTGAGGACAGTTTGGCTCTTTGCTTCTCTATCCATTCGTGTGTGTGTGTATTTTTGGCAGATTGTCTCTACCTCCAGTCACAATACCCAGACTGGACACTGTCCTCATGTCACCCCATTTAAAATATTATTTATTCTGTGTTTTCCCTCTGCCATCCACCAGCACAAACACATACTTGCTTGTGTTCTTTTCTCTCTTCGTCACATTCAGAACAAAAAAGATTTCAGTGAATCTTTGGAGTTCCTTGCGCATCCTGCCTATAATTAGAAGATTCACAAGTACATCAAATTTGGCATCTCTAGTGAATCAAGAAGACAATGCCATTAAATGCAGTTATTTCTATTTTTTAGTCAAGCACTGAAGCGTACTTGTTTAAAATGTTTTTTTTTTTTTTTTGTAGAGTATATTGATTTTATAGTTTTATTACAATAACTATTTTAAAATGTAATTTATTCTACTAAGAATACTAATTATTTTAATTGTTGAAAACACCTGCCTTGTGTTGTGAAATATTGTGATTTATTTAATTTTTTTTGTGGAAACCGTAACACATTTTTTTCATGATACTTTGATAAATATGAATAAAAAAAAACTATAAAAGAAATAAATGACAGAAATAGAAGGAAAAAATAAGTCAGCACACCATGGCACCAAAAATTTTTTTTTTTACATTTCACAGACTCTCACACAGGTGACATTTTGATGTGTCAGATAATTCGAGCCTTCATCCTTCTCTTGACAGTCATCACACACGACTTGACACGCCGGCACTTTTATAACAGCTGTTTGCAGAATCTGCCTTGCGTTATGTACAGTAAACAGTCAGTCAGTTTGTTATTGTGGCACCATCCATATCAGATTAACCTGCATCTAAAGTGGGCGGTTCTTGGCTGAATCACATTATCTCCAAACTCATCAAAGCAAGTGATTTTCTAGAGAACTCTTATTCCACCAAAGGAAGTCAGCTGTCACTATGACGATAAGCATATCTTGCCGATCATGTAGTGCTGTTCACGTTCCTGTTGTTCTTTCCTGAGTGACCCCTCGGGCGCAGGATGGCCACAGATCACGTCTCGTTCTAATCAATATCTGCTGGATGGGTCCTCACTGATCTCGAGGCCAAACGTGACTGTGGGCTGCTGTGGTCGGATTAGACTGATTGATTGATTGGCAGCTCAGTTAAGTTGATCAGTGGGTGTCTATAATTTGGAGCCATCCATCAGCAGCTGTCTGCACGGTCGATGCGAGTTAACGGAGGTTGCTTGACGTGTGGCCGGGATGCTGTGTTGTCTAACAGGAAACTGCTGGCTGCTGATGGAGACCGTGTTTTCCTAAACGTCAATCAAATCACGTAAACAGCAAATATGTCTCACTCATGCCACTCTCTCTCTCTCTTGACTTTATTCCAATTACCGCAATTCAGCTTACTACCATGAACCCTTCCTTGTCAATCTCTGTTTCTTCCTGCTCTCTCTCTCCAGCTGTTTTCTGGACATTGCTTTTATTTATCCTACTGACCTCCCTATACACCAATGAATTTCTACAATTTTAAAGAGTATTTATTATAATACAACATAAAATGGAGCTATCATCGAATGTCTGTACATTTTGACCTTACTTACGATAGTCATTTTGGACTGCATTTGTTAACCTCAAGCATTCAATCTTGTTACCCAAGGTATAATCAGAAAAAAAAAAAAATTCATTTATGAGAAATATAGGATTGTCAGTAAATGCATTTAGTCCTAAACTATCTACAACTAAATTTTCAGCCCTGTTTGTTTGTATTTATTTGTTTGTTTATTTAGTTTAATTTCTGTCAATTCTAATCTATTTTATTTCGATGTTTATTGCTAGACAATTACAAAATCACATAAATCGCAGTTTTAAACTATATTTAGGCATGTCTCAGATTTTGGTTACAAGATTACAAAAATTGCCAACCCCTTATAAAATATAATATAAACTAATATAAACAGATAATAAACAATCTAATAAAATATTTATTTTGTTCTCTTGAGGTTGACAGTTAACATTTTTTTAAAGCTAAGTGCCTTCTTTAAATGCCCATTACAATAAAAGAAAAAAAAATGGCGTAGTATTTGAAACAATTTTTACTTAGGAATTACTAGTACATTTCATGCATAATTACAAAGAAACTGCAAATAACACAAAACATACTCCAATCATCTTTGTTTTATTTATAACTTTGAAAAATCATTTTTTTACAGTGTATGAAATAAAATTAAATAAATGTATTTTTAAGAGCTGCCTAGCCTATTTTGTACCCTATTCATGAACAGTGTCCTGTATGCATATATAACCGAATGCAGTAACTAAAACCTAGTTAGTTACCTCGTTATCTATGTCTTACATAACCAAACTGAAATGGAACCTCTTAGTGACTAATTTAGAACAGTCTACATATAGGCAGCAACTACACACCAATAACACACAGGATTTGAGCATAATAATTTTTAATTTGATCTGTTTTTGATACTTTATACTTCTAATTACTTAATTATTACATAAAAATAATGTATTTTTACTCAACACCTCCTGTATGTCAGGAGAGTGTCCATGATGCCTTAAAGTTCTGTCTAGGTGGGCAGCTCAACATTTGTGTTTATGTATGGTAATTCAAAGGATCTGCTTCTCTTTTTAGAAAGAAAGAAGTGCTTTCACAGTGATCTGAGAACCCAGCTGCTAAATGCTGCATCAAAAGGAAGAAAAATGAAAAGCTGGACAGAAAGAGAGAGAGAGAGAGAGAGAGAGAGAGAGAGAGAGAGAGATGAATGTTCTCAATTATACATGGGGAGTATAGCAGAGTCCTCTGGCACAACTGTACCTACCATACTAACATACTAACAGCAGGTGTGCGGAGAGAGAGAATAAGAGAAGGAGAGAGCTGAAAGAAAAAATAAGAAGTGCATCTAAGGCTATGCCTCGGCAGTACTGAAAAGAGAGGAATATTAACTATTTACACATAACTTCAAGACTTAAACGGGATCTAAGAACAGAAGGACATACATACACCATTGTAAAAGTTCTTTCAAAAGCACTGAAGTGAGTAATACAAACTGTTAATAATATTGCACAAGATAAAGACAGTGAGAGATATATCAAAGGGTTTTAAAATTTGATAGCAAAACACCTACCTTCGGGACTCTCTTCCTGCACATACGTCCCTGTCAGATACCTGTGCACCAGGGCAGACTTCCCACTGGCCAAGTTACCCACAATGCCCTGCACACACAAATACACACACAGAATTAATAGGGGTACCTTACATGATATTTTGGCATGTAAATAAACAGTGTCTCAGCTTAGACCTGAAGCAAGTCCTATTATACCATGGTCTGTCTGAATACTTGATTCTGATTGCCTGG